AACATTTAAAAAGGAGTGCTCAGGAGTCATACAAAGAGTTTTTAGAAGTTCTTGGGAGTTCTTGTAACTGCTGTTTCCACTACTTCACACACCGTACTTAGAATACAAGATTAAATTTTCAGGTCAGAGTCTCATACAGTATCAACTGGCATAGCTCTACTTGTTGGCATGGCTTCCTTTTATTGCCTTCAGCAGAGATGCAGTAATTTGTACCAGACTGGGCTATAGTCACTGGTTTCTAAGTGTCAGTTCTGCAATCTCTTGCAAGAATATGAAAGGATTTTAACAGGTGTCCCTTCTCACCTGCATTTCTTTTCTAGTAATTCTCCCAATCTAGTCTTCTGACCCTGCTCCTCAACTTGAATTCCTCAAAATCTAACTGGTTTGTATTGACTTCCACATCCCTGGATGAGCTTTGTGGTTTAACTGCTTATAAATTGAGAAATACATGAGCCAGAAGCTATTGAACAAGGGAACACAGAACTGCCCATTATCCTGTCAATCACAAGCACTTTTCAAGGTAAATCTGTACTTAAAATATCACTTCATTGACTGATGATACTTGTTTAAATAAATAGTTATAAAGTCTCTAATAATGTGGTGTTTCATTCTTAGCAAAGAATTCCCCAAACTGCGAAGAGAGTGCAGTCAGGCTGGGGAGTATGTACTTACTGCAACTACAAGCAACCATCTTTTCCCCTGAAAACAAGGGCACTGCTGGAAATGGACCTTTTAAGGCCTAAACGTATGACTGAATTGTAGCTTTGCATCAACAAGTTCAAGAATTAAAACAGTACCTTTTCTGCATGAACCACTTAAAAAAAAAAAAAAAAAACAGCAAAAAACCATACAACCTCACATGAACTTTATGTTTTGCACTATTTTGCCACTACTGTTCTTCCATCTTTCCTTCTTTCCTTTACATTTCTCTCCTCTTACCTTCTCCCTTACTGCCAGCCCACCTCATCTCCCAATTTTCTTGTATCCCTCTATCACACTGAAGGGGGTCTGCCTTCTCACACCCCCAGCTGTCTCCAGTGTAGTCTCTTTGGCCAAGAACAACTGCAGGCTGTTGTGCTTTACATCTGACCTGTTCCCATGCAACTAAAGCAACAGGAGTTCTACCACCACTGAACGGTGTAGTATGAACCTATGTTAATTACTGTTGTTAACTGTTTTACTACGTTGCATTTATTAGTGAGCTATTTGAATAGTTGCAGGAGTCAGTTTTGTTCAACTGTTCTAAAGCCGCAGCAGCAGCACTGCACGGCTGAAGAGGCTTGATACGACTAAGACATACACTAAAAGCCCCTTCCAAACAGTTGACCACCAGCACACCGAAGGTACCAAAACCACCTTACGGCTTTCCTTCGTGCACATCTAATAGCTGCCCGGTACCCATGGTGGCCACAAGATGTAATAGCAGATGCTCAGGTGTGATAGTGATGTTCTTGCTGACGAGTCTGGGGAGTTATGCCAACATGCTGTATGTTGCTGTACAAATGGGAGTACTAATGACAGCGTTGATTTTGGACAGATCGTGACTAAAGGCAGAAATGGAAGAATGTGATGCTTAGGAAGCAGTACACTCCGGCAGCAGAATCGGGGGAGGATGAGCAACTTAGAAAGTTATGCTGCTCAGATGCTACTGCTTAGAAAGACAAAGTAGTTCTCAACAGAATCTATAATTATCTGTGCAACATTTTGTAATGAAATCATTCTTACTAAAGAGAAAGTAATAGCAATTCTTCCCTTAAATTAATGAGAATGCACTGCAGGATGGCCACCCATTTTGGTTTTTTTTCACTGGTTGAACATGCACGTTGCTCTATTCAGTGGATGGTATCATAACTCTTGGAAGTGTCCAGGCTCCTGGGGACCAGGACAAAATACAGCTACCCTGGGAAGCACTCTCTGAAGATGGAAGGAGGGCACAAAACATACCTAATCCCCAGTTTTTCAAGTGCCCTCTGTCTTTTCAGGCCAAGACAAAAACCCTGCTGTGAGAAATTCTTTCTCTTTAGTAGTATCCGAGGACTAAGGAAGCGGACAGATTACGTTCTGCTTTTCCATTCCACCCTACTACTTAACCATGTGTAATATTTGCATCAGTTTCTCTATTTGTAGAGCAGTACTACAAATAAACACAGTTATAAAGCACTCTAAAATACTTGGCAGGAATGAACTATGAATAAGCTAATGTTAGTTACAGTAGACATATGGAGTGGAATGCTGAAAGGTTGGGGAATCTGAATCACAGAAGTCTTACCATCACTAATTCTAATGTCTATTTAAAGTGAAACTGAAGCACCACAGGGAAAATTATATCTGATCATTTCATTGCAATATTTGAGGATATTTCCTTGCCATTTTCTGCTGCTTTTAATTATGAAGCTACACATGATGTTCTTGATATTGTCTGCAGAAAATGGAGCATGGATTTTTAATGTCAGGTAGGCAGTTCCCTTTCTGTTGACTTCAATGATTTCTTTCTTGTATAAAGCGTGCTAAAAGGAAACGGTAGCTGTACGTACAATTCCAAATCTATCACTTGATGTCAAACACCTCATCTAAGCCATTTCCCATGCAAAAAAGATGAAAATCCAAAAACATCTGAAAGAGGTTAGTGGAAAAAAAAAAAAGGAAGTTACTGATTTAGAAGAGAGGCTATAGCAGTAACTAGGATCAGCAGCTTAAACTGCGTATGAGGGAATGGTTCCTGGCAGCCAGATACATTAACGCACATCTAGATGCAATTGTGCAAAACCCCCCATGGTGGCAGGTCTAAAACTGTAAATGGTATAGCTGCAACAGTAAAGCTTTGCACCAGAGCTAAGAATGGCATCACCAAAACCTTCAGTCGTACAAGCAGTCCTGATTCAGGGGACTAATCTTTCTGACTAATCTGTTTTGATAAGGACTGCCACATGGGCAGAACACCCCCCTTTATATAGCATTTCACCACTACTAGAATAAAATTAGCATCTCACCAATATCTTCTCTGGTTACTGGCAAGTTCACTAAAATTCAAAGGAATATTTATTCAAATAGTTTCCAATATACTAGAGGAAATGTAAACGGCTGCAGCTCTGCTTAAGCAAGAGATGCATTATGTGCAATGAAAATCTCGTAGAAGTATGCTGAATAATGTTTGTTAGTACTTTCCCTGTTAATACCATAATCCCTAACAAAGAGAAAGTCTACTATTTTAAAGAAAGTTCTCACACATTACTGGGATTCTTGCTCATATATGAGCCTTTTGGAGGGTTGTTTTTAACATCATTAGTTCCAAAATTAAATACATAGTCATGGGAAGGAGACACAACATTGTAGTTATGAAAGAAGCAGAATTTTGTCAAGAAAAGTTTCCCTTGCCTCTTTTCCCTCTGTCATTTATTTGCTGCTATCTCATTTCTACAGAGCTTCAGCTGACATTCAAAGCTAGTTCTTGATCTGGTGAATACTGAACTGTGCTAATTGAAGTGACTTTTGTTCTTGTTGTTATTGTTTGTCTCTTAGCTGTAATTAATATTTCTAATTGGAATTTACAACGGTGCCTGTGGTGTGTTGTTACCACAGATGATATGCCAGAAGAGAGTTCTGGTGCCCTCCCAGAAGATGAAGAATAATGGCTCTGGCTCATGGGTGAATTGCACAGTTCCTTAGCGAACGCTGAGTACTAGCTTAAAAACCTCCTGGAGGCAAACAGTGGTTACCACATAATTATGTGACAGATAAGCCACAGCCCATGCAGTGAGCAAGTCTGATGGATGGGATTTTCAGATATTTTTGTCTTCATCATTCATAATTTACTCAAGAGTGATGCCACTAGTGATCAATAGTAAAGGCCCTCAGCAAAGGAAGCCAGCATAGAACACAGCTGCACCATGTGTAACTTGGCAAGGAAGTACGGAATCAAATCTGCATTTCACCAAACTCGTGTTTCCACCTTACTGTAAGATCCAGGTACAGAGTACAAGACTACCTTGTTGTTCTGTATTTATTTCTGAGATATTAGGAGGATTCATTTGCTGTATCATCAAATCATGTAACTGACCATTCCATGGGTAAAACCACATTCCGTAACTTAAGTGGAGCATAATAGGGTCCTTTTGAGAGAGCAAATATAAAAGGTAGTCAGAGAAGAAAATGATACAAACTAGAGGGATTTTTCAGTTTCTCCAATCACTCCCATAAATACATCCATTTCCTTTATGCCATTTTTGCTTATGTTACTTTTCAGAGTTAGATAATTTGCACATCTGTCTTTGACAAGCATCTTCTAGACCATGTAACATCATTTTTACTGTCAAGATTTCCTTAGGAACACTTCCACCTATGCCCATATACTTAGCCACTTGAGGAGATACAATGTCTTAATCCTCTTGTTGCCAATTAATAAGTCCAGCTGTTGTGTAAGAAAATGGAAACGTTTTGGTAATTTGAGTCTTTCATATATACTAGAGTAACAGGACAACAGCAGAGAAAGAAAAAAAGTCGCTTTAGAAGAAGGGCTTTCACAAGAACAGGGTTTGGAATTTGACACAGCTGTATGGTGTGCAGAAGGTGGCTGCACATTTCAGATTTGTGAAAATGAGACAGTAAATATATCAAGTAAAAAAGATGTTGCTTCAGATAATGTATAAAGAAACTGTGAGTATACATATGTATGTAAAATGTTTTAAAATGCATTGTTTCGTTCATATGATACACACAGTTAAAGATCAGAAATGAAAGCTTTTATCAACATATCTGGGTCAGTGCTGACTTGTATTCCTTAAATTCTTTCAAAATGAATAAACACACTTCATTGTCAAAGCACTAATATACTAGTGATTCTCCATTTATGGCAGAAATAATGTTCTAGCTTTCTATAAAAGAGCTACTAAACAGCATACAGAGGTAATTGTTGCAGGAAAACAATGACAGGTACAAGATGGTTCCTCCTACACAGTCTACTAAGAGCAGCAGCAATAGCAGAGATCATTAGGCAAACTAACCTGTGGTGTCATTCCATGGCAGATATACATGATTGGGATATTCTCAGTGTCTGGCCCTTGATCAAGGCACAAATCACTTTTCAGGGAATTCTGCAGCTAAAATAAACAGAAAGAAAAAGAAATCAACCAAGTCTTACATGAGAAAAAGATGGTGAGACTACTTTCTTTTCTTTGCAAAAACACTGTATGTACTTGAGCAAGGAAATACGCAAAATGAAAAATGTTGCTGCAGTGATGATTTTTGATATACATTTTTAAAGTATTAAGTCTAATGCATTTCTGGTACACATTATACACAACTGTCAATTTTTTTACCAGTGCAGCTAGCTGAGCAGCATGGATGGAGTTTCAAACATAGGAGAAAGCCCGGTAATTAAACAGTTTTTCAGAATCACTCAGGAGAGTCTTCTGATTTCTGGAAATTATTCAAAAAAATCCTTTCTGCTGACACTTAGAGACTTCTGGCCAATTGGTATGCAGTAACTCTTCTTTGCATTATTCCAGGCTAACTCACGCACAGCAATCTATCTATGAACAGACTGCAAAAGCACTTGGCCCTGTTCATCACAAAGCCCTATATATTACCTGTGCAACACAGACAGAATTTTCTGAAAGTGAGGTGCTAAATTAATGAGCACAGATAGCTGGAAGGTCTTTTTAGACTATGAGGCCAAAGATGTGCATTGCATACCCATGGGCATGTATAAAGGTGTTCAGTGGTATCAGATCAGTTCAGAGAACATGAGAGAATTGTCTGATGGAGTGAGAGAATTGTCTGATGGAGTGAGAGAAGAGGTGATGTGCTTTGCAAGCATCTGTGATTATTAACTGAGCAGTCCTGTCAGCTGTGTACAGGGCCCTCCTTTGAGGAAAACCGTGACATGCTTAGAAAGGAAGTCTAGAAGTGCACTTGTACGTAAGAAGTGTGGACAAGCCAGAGACTGAAGTCGGGCAGTGAATAAAATCAAAACCATGAACTCATCGCTGCAAGATTTCCAACTCCAAACCTAACTCTAAATTCAATAATAGACAGGACAAATCTTAACATTAAAGAGAAAATATATATTAGGTGTCAACACTGGCCTTATTCTTAGCTGCAAGCCTCAATAATTAAAGTTTCCTCTCTCAAAGCTTTGTATTTCTTAGCCATAAATGTGACCACAACCATGACTCTAATCATAACCAGCTGTTAGGCACCACTCTCTATCCAAAACAATGATAAATACCAGCCTTATTAATTCATGCCTGGATCCATCACTACCTTTGGCTTTTCAAAACCTCTTCCACAAACTCAAACTCTAATGCTTGTCCTAGCCCTAATGTTATAACCTTTTCCACAACAATCCCCATAATAAAGGAAGCAAAAAAAATCTGCCTTGACCAACGTCAGCATGCAATTTAGCTGAGAGCGCTGACCCAGCAGTGAAACAGGTGCAGAGACCTTACAGTCCCAAGGTCCAAAAAGAAACGTGTCCTTAACCCTAAGAGCTGCCCAGTGATCAGGCGCTACAGAAGGAGAGACAAAATGCTCTATTCCTTTTAACACCAGTGCTCTTCTTATGAACCTTGAACACAAAAAAATAAAATGAGCTCTTCAGATTTAATTTCTCAAACTCTCACCCAACCACAACTCTACAATTAACTTAGAATATCTGTAGAGTAATGATCCTTACAGAAAACAGAAAAACAAAATAGCCACTGCCCTGTTAACCAATAATGCTGTTTCAAAATCTGAGGCCCAGACTCTTAGGAACCATCCCTTTCCAGAATCTAGTGGCTTTGTGGCAACCAACAATTAACTTGGGTAATGCAGTTTTAGACCACCAAAACTTAATCTTAATTACAACGCAAAATATAACTAGGTTGCCAATCCCTATGCTGAAAACCAGAAATAATCAGTCAGTACTGCCGTTTGCTCCCTTTCGAACTTAAAGCCTTACAGAATATAGAGATAAACTAGAACACTGACATTTTGAATTTCCAAAATTATCTCAAACATGAAGCTGAAATCAGGGAGCCAGTCCCTACACTGAATACATCAGCTTTTGGCCCACTGACACCACTTTCTCCTAACTCTTCAGGCTACTGCAGAATTCAGACAGAAATTTGGTTCCCAAACCTTTACACTGCCACCAACCCTAACCCTAGCTATATGCCACAGCATAAACTAGACATGAATGATACAACTATTTTCCTGACTCTCACAGAACAGGAGGAAATTCAGGATTCAGGAAATAAATATGGGTGTTGACACTGTAGATGCTTATATCCTAACCCTCGCCCCATTCAAATAGCTTCTGTAATTACTCAGGGCTTTTTTTCAAATTAATGATAATGCTGTAGTAGTAATATCTCTATTTTCTACAAAAAATTAAGACAGTTGATGAATGGAAGCACTAAGAGAATCAGCAAGCAGCTGACTTGCTTTGAAATATTACACTTTTCTCCATTAATAAGACATGCAAGCAAACAGGAAAGCAGATGCGAAGAAAGACTAGAGATGCAAGCAATTCTTTTACTAAAAAGGTTGGGGCACTTTATCTTTTTGTTTCATACAACAGTATTTCATAAAACAGTAAGCTGTATTTCATAAAACACTCCCCTTTCACCTGTACAGATACGTTGCCATAGCTGGCCACTACTTCTTTTGTGGTAGTAGGTGATGAGGCTACTCTCATACTGCAGACAAAAGACTGCATCATGTGCTTTATTATGCAGTGCCTAAATACATATTCATGTTCTGCTGACTAGCGAGTTCAGTACTTCTGTAACAAACTTCTGATTCTTTTTGGTTTGTATATTGCCAGCAAGGAACCTTCAAAGGCTGATGAGAAAGTCTCAGCAGAATATGAAATCATACGGTGCCGGTTCACTGATTTTAATTTTGAATTACATGATGTGGAATTAATCCTCAGACTACGCAACAAGTACCTTAGCTATTCCACTGGTCTTGTTTTTTTATCTAGTATCACTTCTACCTGCAATCAGTGATTCTTTAGCCAGAGGCACCTACAAGCAGAATCATGCACCTATTAGCTGCTATGCCTCCTTCTCTGCAAGAAACTCTGCACCTGATGAGATCATGGCATCACTGAGGGCAATTCCACAAGTATATGGAAGAGGCTCCTTGCACACACCTAGGTGTGATTTTGGCATTGTTCTGATCTGGTTTGGAAAGTTATCATTATCTCACGCATTTAACAACGACCTAAACCTGTGTTGGAAGTGTTTTTTCTTTGGATTGTATGAAAAGCCTGCACCATAATTTGAATTGATCAAAAGGGTCATGGAACTCTGTGGGGCACACAACCATTTCATTTGCTAAAACAGAGCAGCTGCTCTGTGGCACCCTCAAGGGTCTTAGAGCCATACTGGCAAACTGCACAACTCGGACTTCTTTTTGAGGAGGAATGTGTCAAACGAAATCTTTCACTTCTATGACCTGCTCTTACTAGTTATGTTTCCCAATTGGGATTTGCATGCAAAAAGGCAACTTTATTTCACAGGAATCAATTTTTGGGACTGTGACACTGGATACAGAATGTGAAAAGGACGTTCTAGCTCTACTAGCTTATTATGGGCCCACACTAACTTGCTATGCTCATCTTCCATGTCATGCACACCTGCCCTCTCTGTTTAGATTGCCAGTTTTCTAGGGGCAAGAATTGGCTCTGCTTTAATTAGCACGGTACAACTCGAGCATGATTTCAACACAGACAAGGGTACTACTATCACACAAGTAATGACGATGGTGATCCCAACATACAGGCATTTAAGGCTCTAAATTAAGGTCTGCCTACAATAATAAGAAGCTTGCAGTCGAAATACTTGGCCTGTTTTGTTAATTCACCTGCTGACTGCAAACCTTCCAACTGACAGCTACAACATGTCTAAGAAATCATGCCTTGAGTATCTCTGAGTGGAATGCAAGCCATGAAACAAACAAAAGAATCAGGGAGGAAGATAACTTTCATAATACCTCAGCATAAACTGCATCAGAGCAGCTGTCTCTGTCAACTAACCAGTCTAACAAATTATTTAACTAGTGACTTCCCATTTATCTGATTACTTTACTCAGAGCCAGGCATTGCCTTCATGAATTACTTCCACTATTACACCTTTCCCCCCCATCTTTTTAGAACGCCAAATGTAAACAAGATACTTACCACCCCATACGCGACAGTATCTGAATACATTCTCATTTCTGGATACACAGTGACAAGATACCACCTAAAGGTCTTGCACTGGAGCTTCTTCCTCAAGGCCTTCCTCTCAGAAATATCACCAATATCAATTCCGGAGTCCTGCACACAAAACAAAGGATAGAAAAAGCAGAAAAAATGATTATGACCTATGATAATTATCAGCTTTGGGTTGCAGAGTGACTGTTACCCACACGTGCTCTACAAGTGCCCCAATTAAACAGGATACAGGTCACTATGGCAGGGTCTCTTTCAAAGTCTGCTTTGGTCAATGAAAACACTCCTATTGACTTCAGTGGGCTTTAGATCTAGCTTCCAATGAATATCACGGTTGTTCTCTAATTCCCTGGCACCTTCCAAATCCAGAAGTAATTGGCAGGAAGTAGCAAGTTGCCCTAGAAACAACCTTAATGCTGGCATCCTGCTGTGGCCTAATCGTTAATATATGACACTTTCTGGCCATTTCTGAAGTCTGGGTTTACTGCTTCATTGCAAAGAGCCGAAGCTCTGCTCACCTTTCTGAAATACCACTTATTAAATTTCTTCTGTACTGTAAAAAGAGAAGTTGCTATTTTTGTTAAAAGCAATTGCAGAATATTCTCTCTCCTAATTTTTACTATCCTTTACATTTCTGGCTAACCTAATTTCTACTTATCGTAAGAGCAGATCATAAAGCCTGAGTTTCATAAAGTCCCTGTATATAAAAATCAATAATTTATCCCATTGCAATTATACAGCGGAAATTTTTAGAGAGGGATCTAAGTAGAAATCCATGGCTGCTACTTGACAGGAAGTAAAATGAGACATTTGCGCTACCAATTCTGCCTCAGAACAAAATGCAGGAAAAATAAATCTTCATAGGGAAATCCTATAATCTGCCTACTTAAACTACTGGGCCGTAAGTGTCCCAAAGATTCTGTCAGCCACCCGATATGATTATAAATAACGTTGGGAGCACTGAATTTTCTTAGCTACACATCAAAAAGGTATCTTTATAAATATCTAGATTTCTGAGCTGCCAAAACGACTGCTTTTTATATCCCAAAGCACTGAATTAATGTTAGTCTGGAACAAGTATATTTTATTATGGAAGCACTTTCTAACTAAAATAAAATTGACTCCCACATTAGCAAAGTATACCAAAAAGTAGGAAACTGAGGTCTAGCGTAAACAGGCATATCTCACGCTAATGCTTAAAAATGATGACTCCTCTCCTCTCAAGCCCTACATAATTCATAAAACTTTATGTGGAGCTACTCCTTGAGCAATCATTTTTTCCTGACTTTTCTCACAAGTGACTAGATAAAGGAACATGCTGCAGGGTGCTGTAAGATAACCATGGACAAATCCCACTCATGCACTGCTCTGGCTGCACTTGGACTTGCCAGCATTATCAGCCACTTGTGTGAAGGAAAAGGGGATGCCAGCACACAGACGTTCAACTTCCAGCACTACCAAGGCTTCCTGGGATCAGGTACTAAACTGGTCCAGCGCATCCCAACTCCTTTCTCACGCAACCCTGCAGGCACCAATGCTTGTTTCCTCACAGTTTATTGTACGAGGTAAGAGCGTCTGGGGCCTCGGTAATCACATCCTCCCATGTAGCTGGAGAAGGAAAATAGCTCACATGTAGCACACTGGCTTTATCACCAGCAACAGCTCAGTGTGTTCCCCAAAGCTGAGAATACGATGGGAGGAAAACAAAACAAAACAAAACAAAATTATAGAGGAGTACACATGGAGAGCACAGGTCTTCCTTCTGGGACGTGAAAAATCTTTCCTTTGGGTTTTAAATGCTTTTCTGAATCTATATAACTAAGCAGTTACAATGCAGAAATCACTATGGTATCCGAGATCCCCATTTGAAGCCCTCAATACTTCAGAGCCACCCTCAGAGATCCCAAGAGGGCAGTCACAGCACACTGCCAAATGAGTCTAAGTCTTTTTTATTATTATTAGTTCTCAAAGACTAAAACCTTTGGAAACATCTGACTATGGGGCTTCTCACAGATCTGGGAATTCTTCCACGGAAAAAAGAGGTCCTGTGGTTAACATTCTGGAGTAACATATTTCATGGAAAGTCATGACTGTTATACCTAAATACATTTCTATTACTTACACAGTCCATTACCAGTGCACTATTTCATCAGCTTCCAGATAGCAAATTACTCCTGTAGTTACCCATTTGTGTAACAGTATTTGTCCATGCTGTCTGTCCTCTCTGCCTGTCTCTCACAATGATGTCTTGACATCTTTTTGCCCAAGCTGAAGCTAGGTCTGATTTAAAAATTGTCCCTCTTTGGTACGTCACTTTAAATTTAATCTTGAGGTAAGCAAAGATGAAACAAATACCGCCATCCAGGCTGATACCCAAATTTGACCTAATCCATCCCCAGCCTTTCTCATCCACCATCTCTTTGCATGCTGCCTACTGGAAGTGTGTATTATAAGTGTCCCATGAGCTTTAAGTTATTTTTTAGGTTGCTGCTTTACACTGAATACTCCCTCTTTCTCCTGATGTTTCTATATCCAAGAGACTGCATTGCTCCTAGCCTTTTGATGTATAAAAGACAACTCACACTAATAATGTAGGTTTTCGTTATATTGACTGATTGAATTACAGTGCTTGGGAATGTAATTTTGTTCCGTATTCTCGTCTTTCCCTTAGAAGGCCAGAAGCTTTCCTTAAACATGTACTTGTCTCCTACTGCTCTAGAATCAGTTCAGTACTTGCAAAGTTTAGCATGGGAAAGGAAAAGGAAGTCCCAGGTCTTCGGAGCTCTTCCCCTGATTCTTGGCACCAGGCCTCACACACCGAACACAAAGATGGTTAAAACAACTTCAGATTACCCAACTGATTTGGGATACCTGAGCACATGTCAGGCTGTTAGAACAAAACAGAGCCCCAACATTCTGCTAAAGCCTTCCCTATTTTCCACACGCCAAAAGATGCAAGCTGCGTGAACAACACTTGAATGTACCCAGGTCTAAGACACAGACACCACTGGACAAGAAAACCTTCTGATAGTCATAGAGGTCCCATACTGTCTCTGAACATCCTGTAGCAATTACGAGGCAACGTGTAGATTCAGGCTTTATAGGCCTGTTCCAACTGTGAGAACTAAGCTGTTTCCCAGTGTATTTTAAATAAGTATGTGGGCATGAGTGTATTCATTTGGTTTCCTACAGTGGTGAGAAATACAAATGAAGGTTTCTTGTGCTACAGGTTCCGTACATACACATAGGAATAGATTTCTCCTTACAAGAGAGGCATGTCATTCCACTGCAGAAGAGGCTACCACTGATTTAGCGCGTGCCATTTCCAGCTCTTAAGTCTGCGCTATGGTTTGACAGCAGTAGTCTTTGTGAAGATGAAGAAAGAATATAATCTGCATTGCAATTTATTCAAGCAGTTCAGTGCAATGATTAGTACATTTCTGGTGGGAAAATGACTCAATATTGAAATAGTAAGAAAACTTGTTATTCCTCTTCAAAACTATGAACAAAATCAGTTTTGGCAGTACAAGATCTACCATGCAAACACCTTGATGCACTTTATGACCTGAAGAAATTAGTTCAATCTACACATTGCATTTATTTTTCCTTTAATACAATATATTTATTTCCTTTGTTTAATAAATGAGTTTTAAAATTTATTATAACAGGCTTTTTTTTCTGATCTGTCAGCACAGTCAAGACTGTGTTATTACTTGTTAAATTCCCATTTAAAAAGTAATAACAACAATAATAACTTACCTTTGTATTCTTTATTAATTTGATTTCCAAATTGTTTTCAAATCTTAGCTTTGCACAAAATTAAGATGAATATTATGCAAATACATGTATAATACTGTATATCCTGGTTAGGAATAAGGAATTTCTAAGTTTTGAGTTAGTGCTATGTTTGCAAGTCAAAAAATTGAAACTTGATCAATCAATGAAGATCAACGAATCTTCAGGAAAATAACAATAAAAAACATAAAATGAAATTTAAACCTATCAGGTTAATCACAAGTAAAATTAATTTGACATTGTTTTGATGTAAAATAAGTAACCCCATCTTCCAGAAATATCTTTATTCTTGTATGCGCTGCTGTGCAACTACTCGAAACAGGGACACTTAAAGGGTAGCTTGGATTCTGTGAACATGGGACTAACTTCCAGAAAGGTCCTTTCCCTATACCAGATGAGGCAGGATTTTTTTCCCTAATGCTTTCATGGTATATTATAAGGCTAATTCTGCAACCTGAAAATAGGACAATGACTTCTCCACTTTCCTAAAATTATCTAGTTTTAACCATGAGAGAGGAAGAAAACTATTGAAAGCAGCTGAATCAACACCAGCATTCATATATCTAGCTGGTTTTTGGTTTCTAACCTTTTTTCCTTATTAAACTAAAGTAGTACAGCATTTTATTTCTTGAATCGGAAACCACAGTAAAACTAGTTTCTCTGAACAGCTGCAAAATCAGAGAGATTTTACAGAGATTTTATGAAAGAAAAAATAAACTGCCCAAGTTAATTTATTAAGTCTAGAATACATGCTTTCGCTGTAATAACTGCACACTCTTAAGTCAAACCTCAAATTCAACTACAGCCGTGGTTTCCAACCTCTAGGTGGAAACAACCTATTCTGCATGGATCCCGAATATTTTCCAGAATACGTACGGTGAGCTTTCTCAGAGCCCTGTAGCTCTTAACAGTTCATAGATGAAATACATTGACTACAGAAATGAAGAACTAAAATCTGATGTCAAACTGAACTCTCAGGTTAGCTATCCGACATCATCTTTTCAATACAATGGACCAATCATTGCTCATCTACGTAAAAGAAATGTGGACAAGCAGACCAAAAAGGAGTTGCAGCTAGATTCTGCAATATGTCATGACATCCATGAGCCATCTGTACTCTGATGTGAAGTTACTCGAGAGTGATATCCGCACACTTGAATCGATAGACGTTAATGCCCCTTGCCCCTTGGCAGAACTGCCGTCACAAATCTGGCAGAATTATAGCTCTCTGCAATGGCAAATAAGAGACTCAAATTCAAAATAAGATGTGTAATATAGATTTGATGCTTTTTTTTACCACATTTCTGCAGCTACTACACTAAAATCTCCATGAGGATGATGAACTTGAGAAGAAATTAATTTTTAAGGAACCTGAAGACAAAGGAATTATTCTAGAATAAGACACAACTAAATATATATTTTAATATATAAGTGTGTATGTATAGGCGTATCTTATTCCAATATGTAAGACATACATACGTGTATACAAATAACAAAAACCTAGCAGAAAAATAAAAATTTAGAGTAGGAATCAAACGCAAAAGGAGCTAAAGCCAAAGCTTGCAAACACCGGTCTTTGTGACTCACCTCCTGGGGTATGTTCCACGCCATATAGACATGGCTCTTAAATTCATCCATCCAGACTTCAGCCACTCTTAGTGCATTTCTCCGGACGTGAGCAGTTAGATCTTCTGTGTATGGTTTATGTGCTCTTTCAATGTGGGCAATCCTGGAGCAAGGTAGAACCTCAACGCTTCCTCCACACTGCCATACCTAGGACAAAAAAAAGACATTCTGCTAGCAAGACCTCCCTGCACCACTGCTATCCTTTAGTAAATACACCAAAATTGTTTTATTTCTATGCTTGTCATCGTTACAAAAGAGAATAACTACTCAAGACTTATTTGAGTATACAAAGAGGTTTTTTAACCAGTTCTGAGAGGGGAGAGTTATTACCCTGCCTTACCATGAATTATTACTACTACTTAACCTTACTAAAAAATTATATTTCCAGTAGCCTCTCATCACAATCTTCCTGGGTCAATTTAGCTATTCTCATTATTAACAAAATTATTTATAGGGCATTCAAAACAATAGCATCTGGGTTCAAGTTTTAATGCCTTGCATGCATTTCTCTACGATTGCGCACAGTCCGTCTCAACACGTACACGCACTATTCAGAATCTGGAACTAGGCAGCTTTACATTGAAGGGAAACTGAGCCGATCAACTTTTTAAGATCACTAAAGTTTCAGGTTCTAGGAAGACCAGGGATATAAATGCATCTATGCTTTGCTTTAAACATAGCTCAGAAAGGATCAGGTTTATTTCTTTTGAGGAGTGACAAAGACCAAGACCACCTAGTGAAAATGTTCTATGAACAATTTCAACACACACTACTCTTATAAATTATGTTATAATGTAGGTTACTGTACCTGCTCAAGTGTGTTTTAGTTTTGCCCACTACCGCAGCTGAGTTAATGTCCATAATGTTAATCATGAGTATTGCATTAATTTCTGATTTTCAATTAAAAAAAAAACCCAACACTTTGGCAGCCTTAACAGTCAGTGAAGTACTTGAATTTTTTTACACAGAACCTCTTTTTCCTGTATATCTTTTATTATGTAAATTTCCTAACAAGGTGAAGGCAGCCCATTGATGATGGTTGAGTGGATGCCGCTCAGGTGAAAACCTAGATGTACTCAAACTGTTTGATGCTGCTGAACAAGTACCTCAGTGTCCCAGAGGCAGGTGTACTCACTGAGAAGTGACAGAGTTTGCCTTACAATACTTCTAGCAGAGATTCCTGAAGCTTGGTATCTAAATACCAAGAGGGTGAAAAATGGGAGTCAGAGTGCTCCTTCCTCTTACAGCTCATCCAGGAGAAAGTATATTCTGGTCTCCCTCCCAGTGGCCAGGGATGTGGGCTGGCAGAACATCATGTTCTGAAGCTGATCTCAGACCGCTCAGGTCTGTCCATCCTATAGGCATATGCTCTACTAAGGAGGCATTTTGTTCAGTCATTCATTTTATATATTTAGACATCTGGCTTGAATACAGCATTTAGGCATTTGGCAGCTCCTGAGACCAGAAAATGTGGCATGAATTCAGAATGTTTACAAAGCCTTTTCTGAACGGATGCCTAATTGCATTCAGCAATGCTGGGAGAAGAGATAGAGCCTTAGTTTTCAGAGCTCTCTGGAAGAAGAGCTATCCCATGAACCTACTGTACAGTCAAGAAGGGAGCTGAAAAGACTTCAGCATGTCTCTGTGTCCAGAACTTGGAAAACCATGAGTAAATAAACATAACCATTACCAACGTCAAGGCAAAACTGAGATGATCATAAATTTTTAAAAAATAAATGGGCAATTTACCTGGCACAAAAATAAATAATCTGGAAATGGCATTTGGATCTTGTCTTTCTAAATATCATATAAAGCGGGCAATCCAGTTTAACGATCTAACAAAAATAATAGTTTGTCAAACGTTTAATTCTAAATGGTTCAGCTACAATTTTCCAATAGAGATTAAATGTGAAGTATCATCAGGCTTTGCTCACACAATCCCTGCTTTAAATCCGAGCCATTTCTCAGTACGACATTGACATCCAACTAAAAATTGTTTCAGAGTTACTCACTGTACACTGTTTAAATTAGTATCATGGAAGACAAGGAAGATGTAGAGATGGTCATAACTTAGCCTAGGATAAGACAATTCACATACCGCATGCGCTGCCTCCTCTGCCTAGCCTTTGCTCATTTTAACTAGGCATGGCCTCGATCCAAGTCCAACATATGAGCACCAAATCTTTTGTGGGATTTTTAGAGTTCGGTCTGAATGCCATCTTGACAACAAGCTGAGCCAAAAATTCACAGTCTATAACAAGCTGAATTTCCAAGTAAATTTCTAGGATCTGAAAATTTGAAGAGCGGACTCATTGATAATTTTAGTACTGATTCAGTAATCAGTAAAATCTAATTTGACTTTATAATGAAGTCATATGTGTTTTCAACAAACATCCTGAGATGACAAAGTCTTTAATGTAGTTTGTAAATAACAATTACTCACCACCTGAATAAATACCAGTTAATCAAATCTTGCGGTCACTCCTTTCTCTGACACTGTCAGTCTTTGTTATATTTCCAAAGACTGATTAGTTATTCTGCAAGAACCATGGATTCACTTAAAAACTTAATACCAAGAGGGAGCTGCCAATACAGATGCTACAGAACAGGCAGGTTGTATTAAACAGCTTCAAAACCAAATCCTATTCTTTCCAAGCAAAAATCTCCTGCAATCCATGAAAATGTTATTGGCACGCACCAAAACTGGACTAGAGATATATGCTAATAGTTTTCATATATAAAGGTGAATAAAAGTCCTTTAATTAATGACTTTTTAAAGAGGAAGAGATGAGAAACACATGCAACATGAAGATACGGGAATCATAAGTTAGGGTGTATGCAGAGCTTGCAGTTACAGCAATAAACAAGTAGCACAAGTAGCACTGCCGTAGATGCAGTCTACAAAGCCTTGCAGAGCACTCGCAAAGTGAAAGCAGATGCAATACTTTATAGGGACAGAAAGCACAACACTCATTTGCTCAGATGGTCACATCTACAACAAATGTGATGTAGTACCTTTCTCTCCCACAAGAGTTCTTTGTCCATGGAATTACAGTATGGTGAGAAAGCTCTTCTCTCCAAACATTTAGTTGCACTTAGGGAGAGGCCAGTTCCTTAGACCAGCTGTCCACTTGAACTGACTGCTCCTAGCTCCCTCATCTCCTTTACTCGTGTAAACAAACCCATGGTACTCCAACCCCTGTGTTGGAGCCATTGTGCGTGGTTGGATAGTTTTTCAAGACATCTTGAAAAGGTCTCAGTCCCACATCAGAAGTGCATAGGAGAGACTCATTAATTGCTCTGAACCAACACCTTTTGGTCAAAGACATTTTAAGGGTTTTTTTGAATTAATATTTTCATACTAAGAAATATATTTTCTTAAAGACTCAACTCAGAGGGAAGTTGCGAAGCCTTTTAGAGTGGTCTGTCCTTCATCTAATGAAATTCCTGTAGACAAGAAACTGTCTTTATAGTTAAGAAATAGTAATAGCAATTGAGGGGTCAATTTCTCACACCTCCATACATTTCCCAGTGAATTTTGCAGGTATTTTTTTGCTGTCATTCGTAATCTTTATTCAGGCTTCACCCATACTGAATAGCACCTTTCTAGTTCTTCAGCACTGTTATTTTATGTGATGGCTATAAATAAATACAAAGGCTTAAAAATCAGTGAAGCTTTTCCAAATTATCACCCATGACTTTAGTAGGAAGTCTAAAGATAAAAGAACTTCAAAGACTTTTTTTAACCACATGGAACGGTTTGAAGCAAAATGTTACATCTCTGAGCATACTGTTGCTGCAATCAGTAATACTTAACGACAAACCCATTTGTACAAATCACAAGGAAAAAAGTTGATGAATTTCCCAAACTGTGGTTAAAAGGAAATGCAGCACCTTTTCCTGTTGCCCATGAAGGTGTTTTATCTACGGTAGCAAGAGATGAAAATCGCTAGCGATAGTCTCAATTTCCTGCCAAATACCTAAACATACATATAGCCTTGTTTAAAATAACATATGCTTCCATCAATGTGATACAATAAATAGCAATTCAGATTTCATTCTGTAAATGTATCAATTGCAAAACTGTACCATTGGGTCTCAGGCTTTGCCTTAAGGCAAACACCTTAGGAAGTTTTCAAGTGTGAAGGACTGTGTACCTTTGGCAGTACTTACTACAATTGCTGGAGCCCCAGCAATGCAGAAAGTTAGCTTTTCTTTGGAGGAATCTCTTGAGGTCCTGCTGTTTCACTTTGCAACAACAGTCTTTTAGAAAATGAACACACCAACTGGAGTTTCTCTTCCAAAGAGCTCTCAGAATCGACTTCAGTGTGTTTTCACAGTGATCCCTTCCAAGACTACCTTAGAAAGGGCTCTCTATTCTTGAATTTCCTGAGGAGGTTCATATATTTGGTACAGCCCAAAGAAGGGCTTAGAGAGCTCCCTCCTCTTGAAAGGGTTCCTTCATCTCTAGGAAAAGGTAGTAAAATTCCATTTAAAAATTCAAGCTGTAGAGACAGTAGTAGTGCCAGTGCGACTTCGAACATTTACGAAGCTGAAAGACTAAGCAAAGCCTATGACCTAAACTAAGCAAAGCAAGTGGGACATAATGGGAACATTAAATGAATATGGAGAATTTTTGGGGGAAAAAAAGGCAGGTGGGGATGGGCAATCTTTATCCCTTTTAAATCTTCAGTTGTTATGATTTATGTGGAGAATTTGTCCAAGCTCTAAGGACTTCTTACTGTTAATTTACTGAAGGTACATTTACAAGTAAGTTATAACTGTGTCCCTACATCTGTGTGAATTTGTGTTCACCAAGATTACAGTAGCCCCACAGAGCAAATAAAAGACATGTTCTTTGCATTGGAAGAGCCAGGAAAGCAGAGGACACATAAAACTGCAGAGACAATACAGGTGGTGGCACAACAGATCAGCTGCAACTTCCACTGTTAAACAAGCAAAGGACCCAAGTACTGGGCAGTCCAGTGGGATGGCACAAGTGGCGCAGCTACAGAATCAATAACACACCAAATGGTTTCCTTAAGCATTTTGCAGAGGCGTAAGCCCTGATACTGCTATGCTAGCATTCCTCACTCGTTCCTACCAAAATGAGGGCAGTAGTGACAGCATTTGCACAGCCTTCAGTG